CCAACTCCCCTTTTCTGCCTTTTCATAGTGTTCCCCAAAATATTCAGTGCTCCCAGATCTTATCTTTATTCTCCTTCAACACTATTTTTTCAAGAAAAAATTCAAAATCTCACTCATACTCAAGTGCAAATGACTGACAACTCTAAGGCAGTGGCACTCCCTCATATTTTAGCAGGACTTTAAGAAAGAAATAGGAAGAGAACCACACATCTCCCCTTCCCCACCTAATTACAGTACCATCTTTCACTAGTAAGTTCTTATCTTTCAGGCTAGCACTCAAACGTTTCTCCTTCTGGCCCTAGCTGGTTTGGCTCAGTGGATAGAGTGTTGGCCTGTGGACCGAAGGGTCCCAGGTTTGATTCCAGTTAAGGGCACATGCCCGGGTTGCAGGCTCAATCCCCAGTAGGGGGTGTGCAGGAGGCAGCTGATCAATGATTCTCTCTCATCATTGATGTTTCTATCTCTCTCTTTTCCCTTACTCTCTCTGAAATCAATTAAAAAATATTTTTTTTAAAAAAGTTTCTCCTTCTGGAAGCCTTCCTCAATGCCCCTCCCCACACACACACACACACACCTCCCCACCCACGCCGGCTGACCTGCATCTCTCTTATACACCCTCCCAGAACTGAGTTCCTTCTCTTTAGAGACCTTCATCTTTTGGTGTGATTACTTCTTGCACAGCTGTCCCCTGCACTATACTTTTTTGCTCTCCAGTGTATATTCAGCAACTAGGAAAGTACCAGCACATAGGAGATGCTCAATAAATATCTTTTGAATGAATACATGAAGTTTTGCGTGAATGAAGCCTGAGACAGCTATAGAGTTTGGACTCTGCCTTCATTCCATGAAAAACAGCCCCTGAAAGTAGTGACACTCTCCGATGACATGTAGTGCAGGGGTGGGGACTGTCCAGCCCATGGGCCATATAAGGCCAGCGAAATCATTTGGTTTGGCCCTGAGAAGTTATTAGGGGTGACTTAATTAAATGTTTGACCAAATATAGCAGGCTAATTTTTTAAATATATATTTTTATTGATTTCAGAGAGGAAGGGAGAGGGAGGGGGGGGAGAGAGAAAGAGAGAGAGAGAGAGAGAGAGAGAGAGAGAGAGAGACTAATTGGCTATCTCCTGTACACCCCACACTGGGGATCCAGCCCACAACCTGAGCATGTGCCCTGACCAGGAATTGAACCTGACCTCCTGGTTCATACATCGATGCTCAATCACTGAGCCACGCCAGTAGGCGAGCAGGCTAATTTTTAAGTTGATGATTTTGTATGGCCCATGAATGATGGCATAAATATCCAAATGGCCCTTGACAGAAAAATGGTTCCCCATCCCTGCTGTAGTGGATCCCATTAGTGCCTAATCCAGACCCCTTTTCCCAGGCACACACCCATCCTTCTGCTGCCTTAGGGTTGGATGCCTGCTCAATGGCTGCTCCCTTCTCTGCAAAATTGCCCTTAGCTGATCGAGGCCACCTCTTCTGGGAGGTTCCAACTCCCTTTCTCAGCCCAGGGCAGCCCACAGCCAGTGACAGCTGGCAATGGGGTACAAAAGGTTGCCCTCCTTATCTCAGGTCAGGGACCACCCTGTGGTGCCATTTATGCTCCAGAGCCCTCTGTGGGTCAAGCCAAGGGTAGACTTTACCTGAGATAACATCCTTGCTTGTCCCCTTCCCTCTCCTTCTCCTGCTCCCCTCCCTCCTTAGTGGTTTTTCTAAAGAGCACTACGTCAATAAACCCCGTGCACCGATTCCCTATCTGCTCTGCTTCTGGGACCCCCAACCTGGAACACCACTTCCCAAGTTTGTCATGGGCTCTAGGTTAATGACCTTTCCCTATTGAAGAATTAGTATTTATTAAGCACTCACTATGTGCCAGAGTCCATGCTGGATGCTTTATATTATCATTTATGTCTATCGCAAGCACCTGATGAGATAGGTCCTATTATTATCCCCATGTTGTAGAAGAATACTGAGGGTCAGAGAGCGTTCATGACTTGCTCAAGGTCATACGGTGGATAAATAGTGAAAAAGGGATTTGAACCCAGTTCTAACCAGTGAGGTGATGATGGCTACTATCATTGTAAAACAGGATGACTATTGTAATAGCACAGGCAAAAGAAGGAAAATCAGGAGCTGGGGAGGATGGTAAAGAAGACTTCTCAAAGGAGGAAACATTTGAATCTTGAATGATTAGGAGCTTTTCAGGTAGATGACGGGGAGGGAAGGTATGCAAGAAAGAGGGAACAGCATGTGCAAAGGCAAAGCGGCAGAAATAAGCATGTGTTTCATATGGTTTCAACAAAAAGTGCGATGTACATTGAAAGATATGCTTCAGATATAGGCTGGGACTAAGCAGAGGAGTAACGTGGGGTAATAATAATAACATAATGTCCAGGATGGAAGATGGATTGGAGAGAAAGACCAGACTCCAGGAGGCTAGTTAGGGGAAAGAGGGTGAGGTCTTTTAAAGCTATGAGGATAAAGAAACGTGGGTAAATTCAAGAGAGAGTGATCTGGGAGATAAAAATAGCAAGATTGGGAGGATGAATACGGGAAATGAGGGAGAAGGAGCCTCGATAATGTCCAGGTATCTGTCTAGGATAGTGCCACTTTCTGAAGTGAGAAAAAAAGGGCAGGTTTGGGCAGGAAGAGGAAGAGCTCAGCGCTGGACACGCCAATTGAGGATTTCTCCAGGGAACACTGGCAGCTCAGGGGGCAGTAGGTAAATGGCATATCCCTGCTGCAGCTCAGGAGAGAGGTGTGAGTTGTTCTGTATCAAAAACTCTGATTGGCTCTTTGTGACATCATAGAATTGGGAGGGGAGTAGTAAATGAAGCCCTTGACCATAAAAATATTGACTGGTCTAACTGTCTTTTGTGTTGAACTCATTGTCCCAGATGAGTTTGCCAGAATTGAATTATTTCAAACTAAGCTCTCTGGACTTTTTCAAAAATTTTTAGGATCATGAGCTTCCTGCTGCCAGGTGCCTTCTCCCCACCCCCCTGCACCCTGACCAAATCCTTTACCCACCTCTCCCCCACATTGCCTTTCCAAAAAAAGAAAGGGGGAAAAACGGTGGAATGGATGATTTGGGAGCTGAAAACCTCCAAATGGGGAGGTTATATCCTCGAGACAGCAGCATCCATCACCACATTTTCATTATTAAGTAACATCGCAGTATGCTGGGCTGATTCTGCACCTTATCTGAACCTAGCAGCTGTGCCCTAAATTCCAGCCGTGGCGCCTGTCTGCAGGAATTCAGTTGCCTGTGTTTAAAATGAGTGTTAGCATCTATCATTTCCCCACACCAAATGGTTTTGTGTCGGTGGTTGGCAGAGCTAATCTGTCACTGGGGTACTCCACTGCCCGGCTCGATACCCTCTTCGTCACTGTTGGGGAGAGAAGAACGGGAGGCCCCCAGGATGGGGGAAATGTCACTGTGAGGACAACTGCAACATTTGGGACTCTCTCTCTCTCTCTCTCTCTCTCTCTCTCTCTCTCACACACACACACACACACACACACACACACAAATGGGGGTAAGAGAAATGCCATCTGCGTGTATTACAGGCTCTGACTTCCTATGCCACTGATTCTGGGCAGTCTGGGGTCTTCCGTCATCTATCCTTTGGGTCAGTGTGGAAGTTGGTGGGACTTTGCCACAGACCTCAGGGCATGACTGTGGTGTTGAATGGCTTTGGTGCTGTCCGTGGTTTTCGGCTCTCGAGGGTGCAGAATCAAGAGTATGTGCTGAAGAGGATAATACACCATCTGGTATGATATGTCTCAACCTCTTTTGAGACTCAAAAACCTTTTAGGACCCTCTACTCAGATAAATATACAAAACCCAAATTTTGCTCATCCACACCAGATACAGTTTAACTTCCTTGTTTTACAGAGGGAGTAGCTGGGCCTCATGCAGAGGAAGCTATTTGTCAAATTTTTCCGTGTTTGAGCAGGAAGAATTTTGGGCAGGGTAAATGAATCTAAGGAGTGAGATCTAGTTGGAAAATAAGGGTTTCGGAGCCCTAAAGAACTGGGTTTGAGTAAGCTTGTTGTTACTAGTTTTGTGGCTTGGGGCAAGTAGATACACTCTCCAAAATTCAGTTTTCTCATCTGTGAAACTGGGTGGTAACATCTAGTTTGTAGGATTTCGATAAGGATTAGTGTTAGTGAGCATGACATGCTGTGTTGGGTGCTGCGATGCACACCCAGACCCCCCTTCAGAACTGAAGGATTTATGCCACCAGTGAGGTTGCCATTGGCAGAAAGCCACCAGCGATCAGTCCCTTACAGGAAGTGCCTCAGCTGAAGAGAGCTGGTAACACCTCTTCCTGGGGCAGCCTGCATCCAATAACGGATATGGCAGTGTAAAGGCTCACCCCAACTCTGGGCAACTCTGAAATATCATCCCAGCATCAGAACCATCCATAGGGTTGGCTGAGGCCTCACAGCCCTACTTTTCCTCTGCCCAGGCCCACTTCCTTCCCTTCCATCCACAGGTGTTGACCCTAAGAGCACTCCCTCACAAGCACCCTGCATGCTGACCGCCACCTTCGAATCTGCCTCCCAGAGAACCCAATCTATGATGCAAGGCCAGTCCTGTTGGTTAAAAGGCTCTTGGGTGTTTTCCTGGTTGAAAAGCTGTTAGTTCTGGTCTTTCCACTGGCCCAGTCCTCTTCTCCCTCAGTCCACTGATTTGATGCCTCTTGGAAGAAGATATTTGGGCTCCTGTGATTCTTTCCGTCCAACCCTCGGCCTCTAGGCATCAGAATGCCTCAATCTGACCAGGCAGAGGTGCCTAAGCTACCTGATGAAGAGTCACTCAGACACCCCCCTCCCAGCTCCCCCCTGGAGATGCTCACTTCCCCCTCATATTCATTTGGTCCTCAAAGCATGCCCGGGCAGGAGCAGCAGTATCTGCAGCCAGAAAACTCACCTGTTCAATATTCAGCCAATGGTTGATGGGCGCATGCTGTGTGGAAGGCTCTTACCTTAGGGAGCTACAGGAAGAGATGTTCATTCACTCCGTTGGCCATTCCACCAATACTTATGGAGCCAAGCCTTCTGTTGTGCCCTGGAGAGACAATGGTGAACAAGAAAGATGAGATCACTGCCCCCAAAAGGCCACAGCTTAGCATCTCCCATTCCAGTAGGTTTTCCTCAGGGTTTTGTTCCTTCTTAGTTATTAGGGAGCTCTTCCTTCTGCTAATCAAAATCCCTTTGACTTTAAACTTGTCACATGCTTATTTTCCATCCCGTGTGGCTCTTATCTCACCTTTGAAGAGCCTCCTACCCACCAGTCCTTGCATATCTCTCACCTTCTCCCTTTTTAAGCCAGAATCATCTTTTTCAGATAACTCTAAGCTTAATCAGACCGACAGTAAAGAGGCCAAGGTCAGAAGACCATTCACCCACATTGGTTCATTGGCACCACTTGGTGACCAGATGGTGCCTACTCCTAATCTTTGCCCACCCTCTAGGCGTGAACACAGAGGGTGGGCAAGACTGCCCATCACTGGTTGAAAGCAGCATTTGCCTTGATGAAGGGCTGTCTTGCTGTCCTTAGTGTCCCTCTGCAAGGAATAATTATACTTCCAATTATGAAGATTGGAAAACTGAATCACAGAGCTAAGAAACTACTTGGGCAAGGTCACACTAATCTACTGAGGTTGAAACTCTGCCACTGAACTGAAAGTGAGAGATTGTCACATGCAAACACATGGACAGGAAGAACAAGCAACAGGTAAGAAGAGAGGTGAAGACGGGGAAGAGAGAAATGTAACTGGGGTCAGAATGAGAGAGGGGCAGAGGAGATGAGTGAGAGAACTCAGCCCGAATGATGGCTTCTTTGCTTTTCAGAGGCATTTATCTTTCATTTGACCTTATAAGAGTCTATTTGTGTTGAGATTTTAAATTGAGAATTTTTTCTTCTTAAAAAACATCCCTTTGCAGTTAGCACGGTTCTGTATTAATTTTTATTCATGCCAGTGGGTTCGGTATTTATTCTCCTTCAAAATCACTGAGTTGGAAGGGACAGGGGGAAAGTCATTTGGCTTTGTGTTTGTCTGGTCTCAGAGCCTGAGGCCCAAGGGGTGGGGATCAAGTGGGGCGGGGATCAGGCTGAGAACTGGAAGGGAGGTGCCCCCCAGTGTTGTCAGCCACCTGACTTCTGTTCAAACCACACTGCATGTTGTGCTGTCGGCGCAGAAACCCCTGTGTAAGGGGGCTGGTGAAAGAGCCAGAGCCATGAATCCCCTCGATCCAGCCATTCAGCACCCGGAGGTGGTGTCTGAACTGGATCTTGATGCTGTTGGGAAACCAAAAGTCAGTGTGGCCTAGAGGCTGGGTTTGGGCCTGGGAATCTGACTGCCTGGGTGTGTGTCCCAACTTCACCACTTGCTGTGTGCCTGGCCTGCACTTCACCTCTCTGGGCCTCAGTTGCCTTCATCTGCTAAATGAGATCAGTAAGAATGATGTCCTCCCAGGGCTAGTGTGAGGATTAAGGAAGTGACTGCTCATGAAGACCTTGGCCCAGTGCCTTGGACCCAACAGGTGTTGAATAAATGTTTGTGCATTGCATGAATGTAGTTTGTGCGCTTTCATAGGAATTCTGTGCAAGAGGAGGCATGGAACGTGACTAAGTACATAGGTTCTAGAACAGGGGTGGGCAAACTTTTTGACTCGAGGGCCACAATGGGTTCTTAAACTGGACCGGAGGGCCGGAACAAAAGCATGGATGGAGTGCTTGTGTGAACTAATATAAATTCAAAGTAAACATCATTACATAAAAGAGTACGGTCTTTTTTTTTTTTAGTTTTATTCATTTCAAACGGGCCGTAGTTTGCCCACGGCTGTTCTAGAAACAGATAGACCTGGGTTCAAACTGTTGTATATTTCTCTGTTGGCTGGGAGTCAAACTGCCTGGATTGTGTCCTGGCTTCACCACCACCACTGTGTAACCTCAGACCAGTCCATTACTTCTCTAAGCCTCTGTTTATTCATAATTAAAAGGGAGATGGCGATAATACCTATCTCACAGTGTGGCTGGGAACTGAATTGGAACACACATATAAAGGGCTTAGCATGGTGCCTGGCATACAGTAACAGCTCAATTTAAAAACAAAACACACCCACACATAGGAACTCACAAAGCAGAGAAATGCAGGGGCAGGGTTTGAAAACAGATGGTACAGCAGCAGCAAAGGCCCGGAGGTGTAAACCGGTACATTATGATAAGGAGACTGGAAACAATAAGACAAAACTGGGGCAAAGAGTGAGTAGCTTTTGGCCATGCTGTTCCCTCTCTCTCCCCATACCCTCGAAGGCTAATGCCTTCAGATCTCCTCTAAGATCCCTCCCCTGATCCCCCTATCTGAGTGTCTGGATATGCTCTCACTGAAGTTTGTTGATTTTCTTCATAGCTCTTATCATTGTTTGCCTCGGTGTATTAATTTATTGGTTTGATTCATAGCTGTTTCAAGATTGCAAGCACCGTGAGGGGCCTTATGTCCAGTACCTTGTACAGGACTTTCCACACGGCAGACATTCAATAAATATTTGTTAAGAGGAAAGAAACAAGGGAAAGAGGGAGGAAGACACCATGAGATACGAGTTCTTTATGCCCATTTTACAGATCTAAAGAGGCTCAAATAAGTGAAGTCCCTGCCCATAGGCCCATAGCCACTAGGAAGCTGTGATGTAAACTCAGGCCTAACAGACCGCCAAGTTTACTCTTCCCTCTAGACCAGCAGTCGCCAACCGGGGGTCTGCAGACCACTGGTGGTCCGTGAGGTCCGAAAGGTTGGTGACTGCTGCTCTAGACCACTGGTTGTCAGAGATGATCTTTCTTTTAAATTGTTGACACTATTACAGATGTCTCCATTTCTCCCCTCTTTCCCCACCTACACCCAGCCCTGCCCCCTCCCTCTGGCCTTCACCACACTGTTGTCTATGTCCATGGGCTATGCATATATGTTCTTTGGCTAACTTCTTCAGCTTCTTTCATCCAGTTCCCCTCCACCCCCTTTCCCTCTGACATCTGTCAGTCTGTTCCATGTATCCATTCCTCTGGTTCTATTTTTTTCGTCATTTTATTTTGATCATTAGATTCCACATATAAGTGAGATCATATGATATTTGTCTTTCTCTGACTGGCTTATTTCACTCAACATAATAATCTCCAGGTCCATCCATACTGTCTCAAAAGGTAAGAGTTCCTTCTTTGAGATGATCTTGACAGTACAAAATATATAGCCAATTATGTAGCAAATGCCCATGGACCCAGCACATGGTTAAAAGACCAGAACATTATGGAGACCTTTGAGGTCCCCTGAGTTTCCCTCCTAGACCCCCTCCCTCCTTCCCTGCTCCCAGGATGGAACCGCCATCCCGACTGGCTGTTTAGCATTTTCATGCATGCTTTGATATGTTTTACTCTGGTGTGTATGCTCAAACAGTATTGCTTTATATGTTTTTAGACTTTGTATAAACAGCATCATCCTCTGTGTATCTTTCTGCAACCTACGTTTTTTAACTCAATATTATGTTGTGAGCTTCTTTCCCACAACTCAATTTCATTTCTTTTCAGTGCAGTATATCAGTCCCCTGGATAAATAATTCATGGTTTATTTACTTATTCTCCCCATTGATGGACATATAGGTTATTCCCAGCTTTATGCAACATGTAAACCTTTCTTGAAAAGAAATTGTTGGTGGAAGCTTGACATAAAAAGCAGATAAAAGTGTAACTGCTTTGTTTGCGTTGAGGAAGGGGCTGTCCCAAGGGCCTATGATGGGGTTCTGCTACAGGAGGTCTGCAGATATTTCTGGGGCCTTCCTTCGCATCAGTCTTTGAAAGTACACGAGAGGGGAGGCAAAAGGAGACAGGACCATGAGAAAGAGCTTGACTTCGCATCAAATTTGAGACTGCAGATTCAGAGATTCCAAACATTCTTTGTTGAGTCTTTTCTGGCTCAATCCAACCTTATCTTCAGATATACACACATGCACACACACACACACACGCACACACTTTCTGTGATCCTGGCACGCGTCATGCTTGGTCTCACTTCTGTTTCGTACTCTTCCTGCCTGGTGTGCCCTTCTTACCTTCTTCAAGTCCTACCTGTCATTCAAGGCCCAGCCCCAGGCTCACCTCCTCCATAAAACCTTCCCTGACCATCCCAGGCGGAGGCCATGTCTCCTGGACAGCTCAACTCCATCTGTGAGTTGGGTCAAGTAAAAATTAGGCTTGTTTGGATGCTTGTCCCGGGTCAGTTGAGGCAGATGAACTCCAACCTGCTTACTAGACTGTTCCCTTATAGTGGCCTCCAGGATCCTACAGGATCTGGCCCCGTCACTTAACTTCCTGTCTTTCTATTTCCCTCCTTTCTCACCTTGCTGCAGCCACACTGGCCTCCTTACCAAACCTGACACATGCCAACCTTACTCCCACCTCAGGATCTTTGCCCGGAATGCCCTTCCTCCAGATATTCACAAGGCCTGTTCCTCACTTCTTTCACATCTCTGCTCCAATGCCCCTCAGCAAGGCCTTTTCTGACTACTCAATGTATTTGCTCTGCTAGATCTTCTATCCCTTTTCCTGATTTATTTTCCTCCATAGCCCTTGTCATCACCTAATATATCATATATTTCACTTATTTTTCTTGTTTATTAACTATCTCCTTGATTAGAATGCCAGCTCCATGAGGGCAGGAATTTTTGCCTGTCTTGCTCACTGCTGCATTTGCAGAGCCTAGAACAGTGTGCCTGGCCCATAGGAGGAGCTCAATACACATTTAATGAATCAATGTCTTTCAGTTTCTTCATCTGTAAGATAGAAATCCCTCCCTAAATCATGACATTATGAGGATCACATAAGTTAACAAAAGTAAAGTGGTGTTTAAGAAATACCACCCCTGCCCCCAAGAAGGTCCATAAAGAGTTCTGTCAACTGTGAGTTGACTACCCTTGGAGTTGCTGCGGTCCTTCTAGTGGCTACTGCTGGAATTACAGGCATAGTGCTTGGGGGAAAAACAAGCCTGTTGTTAGGGACCAAGCTTAGTGA